AAAAAGATTTTTGCTGATCCACACCACGTATTCATCAGGACTAATAAGGCAGATAAGTAAATGACTTTGTTATTTAATGCCAACTCCGATACAGCTATTCTTCAGGGCAAGTGGAGAGGCAGCACAGTCTGTGTGTGTGAGGGATGGAAAAGAGCTACCTGGTTACAAATTCTGGCCCCACTGAAGTCAGTGGGGGTTCTGCTGTTTGACTCCAACAAAGCAAGGGCTTCACCATGTGTTTAAAAGAAATATTTCACGGGGACTGTTGTCAGAATGCTGGTAAACATACAACTTTTAAATCTACTTTCTTTTTCACATTTGAATATTTGTTTACCTTGCGTGCACTGCAAAGTAATTTGATATAAAAACTTCTCATCAATTTAATTTTATTTCAGGTCGGTTTTGAATTGGTTCCCTTTTTTTATTTCTTGTGCATTTAGAGACCCCACGTGGCAGCGTCTGGGCTAAAAACATGGTAGGGGAGTGTTCACATATTTTCTATTGCTGGGATTTTAACTGAATTAAAGAAAAACAGAAATGAAAACATTTCCATTTGTTTATGTAATTAAAAAAAAAAAAAAAAATCATATAAAGTTGGGTCCAAGCCAGAGAGCATATCCTTTTAATGAACAAAACCCTTCACCTTTTTTGCAAGCGCACTGCAAATGGAGAGACACACATGTCATATCTACCATATCAATGTCATTTTAGAGTATGTAAAAAAAAACACTCTATTTGTCTTAGGAAATATCGAAAACTTTTATAGGGAATTTGGAAAATATTTTTTGGCCAGCATGAAAGGTAAAATCCTGCAGCACAAAGTACAGACATGGGCACAGAGACTGAACAGACGGGCTGCTGTAAAACAACCATTTAATAAGGCATTAAAATGCCATCGACTTGGACACATAAAAAAAAAAAAGCTATGAAAACAAATGCCTTTCAAATAATTAGGATCTTATGCTTGAGACCAGTGTTGATCTCTATGCAGAGATTTTCCTGCTGAAATCAGACCAGTCTAAGTCTGATCGTCTAAGGAAGGAATTAGCAGCGTATAAATCGGCTGCTGCTTGAGATTTTTCTGTTTCTGCCATACATAACCATTCATATAAATGATCACTTCAGACTTTCTATCTCCTCCTTTCTGTTTCCTCGGGTGTTTTGGATGGATTTCATTTAGCAAGCCAGAATAATTTTTTAATTGAATCTCCGATTTTTATCACAAGCGTGTGAAATGGTTGAATTCCTAGCTTTTAGCCACACTGCAGGAGGGAAGCTGAGCCAGACTAACAGATGCAGCCAGAAATAGCAGCAGAACCCAGTTCTGCTCTTGAGAATATAATGTGACTTTGCTTTCGCTTCCAGTCATGTACTTGTATTGATTTTAAGATTTAGCAATACTTTGTAGTGGTAGCTGGTGTGTAAAATATATTGAACTGTTGTAGAAATTTATCCTTTAATGTAATAACAAAATTCCTCAAGGATAATTTTATTGCCTATAATGTACACAAATATAAAAAAACCTACTATAATTGACCATTCTCGTCTGTGTATTTAAGCCTGGGTGACTGCTGTCATGATATTCCTCATTAGCACAGCTCAAAAAAAGAACATATTTGGAAGAATGGGCATCTGTGATAACATAATTAACGTGATAAAACGAAGCAACAGGGTTGTTGTCACAGAGATGAGCATTACATCTCAAAGTTAGGTTGGAATTTAGTAGATTTTATTTCAAAAGTAATGTTTAATGAATATTGCTTTTCTTACATAATAAAATCACTGTTTTGATCTCCATTTTGCTGAGTATTAACTTTAATAATCTTGGAGAAATTAATGTATGTCCCTTCTGGATTTCATCTTGTTTCCTGCTTTGTCATTAGTCGGCAGCTGGCCCCCAAGGCACTTATTATTAAACTTCTAATCCAGCCTGCATCTTTATTTCAGATCTGTAATTTCAGATACTCTTCAAATTTGTTTTTTTTAACACATAGAACTGGGTCCCATGATGAGAGTCCTGTGTGTAACTTTCATAACCAGTCCAAATGGCAGATCTTGCTCTTGATATCGTGATTTCTTCTATTAATCAGTTTTATATGACTTTCTGCTGGCCTGGTTTTTCAAGGTGTGAAAATTTGCACTGCAGAGGTATTTTATGGATTGCAACCATAATTTCGGGATAAGATTCTAAAGAACTGGTCTGGTTAGAAAGCTTTGGGCAAAATTTTTAGGTTCCTGTGAATTGCTGTTAAACCTGTGTTGCCATTTGGCTAGAAGTACATCCCAATTAGTAACCCTTCTATCTCGCAGTAGCAGCGTGTAAGTGATTTTATTCTTCTTTTTTTTTTTAAAAAAGTCAGTCGTAAATGATTAGTCCAAAAGAGTAGCATAAAACTTCGAACTAGTCCCCTGCAGGAGTCGGCTGGAGGAAATTAAAGGATCAACAACACAAGGGGAGCACTGAGGTAGGATTGTTCCAGGCTGCAGCCACAGGCTTTCACATGCACTCAGGAAATTGACTTCATCAAAAGCCCGAGGATGCAGGCGTGAGGATGAGGAGGATAACGCAGGTGATGATTCTAAATCATGGCTCAATATCACAGCGTTTGCCAGGGGAGAGGTTTCCTCCCCACCTCGAAAAAAGCAGGTTTTTCTATGTAAAAATTGAATCTTCTCTTTATGAATTAATAAAAGTTCAACGCAAAGCTGAGCTATAAATCTAATATAACTTAATAAATAATGAAGACTCGGGTTCCCTAAAATAATATCAGTTGGATGGGGTTTTTTGCACAAGTAAAAGAATGACCCCCCGTAAGCTGCGTGGCTCAGAGTTACTGCTGTGTGCCCTGTGTGTGTGAGAGCTGTAAAACCAGTGACTCAGGAGTGCCTGGGACTTATGCTCAGGCAAGGCATTTTCTTTAATGTCTAAAGTAAATTCACGCTGCAGAAACGTGGATCTTCTGAGCCTGAGATGAAGCTGAAGCCTTTCTAGTGGAGCAGGAAAGAATCGACAAGAGGGAAAAGGCATAAAGTCACATCTGGAGCCAAGTCTGCTGGGAAAAGGTGTAAAGAGATGGGGGAGCAGGAGGGCCAGAGCACAATTCCACCAGGGGAAAAGTGGAAGAAAGAAAGAGGAATGTCCCAGGAATGAAGCTCTTATAATGTTCAAAACTTTTCATCGGAAGTTAAACGCTGGAAGGCTCTAATCCAAATAAGGAAATTAGAACAAAAATTAACAATATTCAGCCATTCAGATGTCAAAAGAAATAGCAGAGTTATTGGTGTTAGAGGTTATTGCCAGGAGGGAAAAGCTCAGCATGTCTTGGGTAATTAAGCTTCATTGGAGAGCATGGATCCCTTCTCCAGGTAAGAAATGCTTTTATAACATGGCATCTTTTGCTATTGTAATTAAACACCATGGGCTATTCTGCATATGAAGTCTTAAACACTTTTGTCCTTTATCATGGGGTTTTACTGGCCAGGCATGTGTGTTCTTATGGCAAAAAACATTGACTGCTATAAAAAAAGAAACCCAAACATTTCTTTTTATTACTCGACTTGCTGTATTTTTATATATATTGAGCCAAATTCATCCCTTGAGTAGCTCAGCTGAAGCCAATAAGGATAGATTTGGCCCATGTCTATACGAGAAAGGTGGTGACAATTAAAATATATTGTTTAATAATGAGAGCTATGGTAGTGGAGTGTCTTTCTGTCTATGAAATTATACACCACGACACCACGTTGCCAGTATAGAGTGGGACTAGCAAAACATATAAGACCGGTTTCTGATGGAAAGGCAAAAGCACTCTAACTTTTATTATTAGGATTAAATATCACAAAGGAATTTGAATGAGACTAATTTAGGTAACATCTCCAAAAGTCTCGTTTATAGTGTGGTCTTTTACCATAGAGCAAGTAATGTAAAAATATTTCTTGAATGTTTTGATATGTGGCTACCGAGGACAGTGTGACTGGCTGTTGTTAGCAGTAAGTAAAAGAACAGTTTTGATTTCATATCTATTTCAGTAATATTACAAAAAAGAATGTACCCTATTAAACGAAATGTGTGGACAGCCATTATTATCACTTTATATTGGCAATTCCCAGTTGTTCTTCTGTGTGAGGCGTTGTACCAACACACGAAGGACCTTGATACCCTGAAGGTCTGAAGATGTTGCCCCTTGAGGCAGCAAAGGATTCGAAGCTGGTTAATTTTGCTGTCATGATGGGCCCTACACAGCAACTCTTCTTTGTGTCACTGTTGGGAAGTTATAGAGAATTTTATCCTTCTACTGAATTTTTGGGGTAATGGTTATTCACAGCCAGTAATCGTAGCCCTAATTCCAGGCTCTCCACGCTGCCTCGTAACCATCCCGAGGATTTAGTCAAGGCTTTACTGGGTGCTGGGTCTCCTTGCCAAGAAGGGGTGAGGAATAACCAGAGGGATTTCCCAAGGAGCTGGAGGGTTCAGGAAAAGTCTTTTTACCCTGGAGGCCCCCGGCTCCTTCCCCTCTGCTCTGACCCCTTGCAGCTGCCTCTGGGCTCCCTGTCAGGATGCTTTAGGAACCAGGGGTGGGAAAGGTCAGAGTAATAAGAGGACAGAGATTTTGTTGACCCAGGAACCGAACTGGCTCTTGATGGCCCTGCCCAGGAGCATAAGGAAGACAGCAATACCTAGTCAACGTGGCTAACGGACTTCAGCAGAAAAGGTAGCTCTTAAATGAGGCTAAAAATATAAAATATTACAGCTGCAATGAGTTGCTCAGTTCCTCTAATGCTACTGGTCTTCCAAGGAGTCTCTGACTCCCAAAAATGAGGGGAGGGGGAAAACCACTGAACAACAAAAAATTATTTTTGCTGTACTTATTGCTCATTCTGAATCTCTTTTATAGAAATCTGGGCTTTGGCATTGAACTCGGGTAATATTTTATTAGAAGAAAGCATGATTCACTGAAATGGCGCACTTCGGGATCTATGGAAAGGAAAACTGGGAAGGACACAAAAGAAGTTAGACTGTGGAAAACCAATTCAAGGAACCACTGCCACACAAAGAACCTCAATCTGCAGTAAGAAACAACAGAAAGGAACAAAATATTTCCAAGGAAACATCTGAGCGTAGTGTTGGAGCCAAGTAAGGAATTATTCTATATTAGCCTGTCAGAAAAAGGGTCATACTGTATACGTGGTTGGAGAACACCCTGTCATTTTGAAATTAATAGGGGTTTTTTTATTAGCTTTTGTGATGATCAGGACTGGCCCACATACCTGTAAAATTGAAACTTTACTGAAGAAGTAATAAGAGATCCCAGGAGGAAGGGGATGTTTAGTCTGTCTTATCTTGCACATTTTCAGAGACTTATTTTTCAAGCTATGAAAAGCACATAGGGGTGTTATCCATAGGGGTGTTATCCATAGGGGTGTTGTTATCCATAGGGGTGTTATCCACAGTTCTTTACGTATTATGAGAACAGAGATGGTTGAAACAAGTAAACGTGGAGAACAGCCTAAACCTCCCTCTGTAACAGTAAAGTTGTTCACTCCACACTAAGTGCTGTCTCGGGGTAAACAATCCATAGTCTCACCCAGTTCTGGTAAACCTTCCAGTACATGAGTGCAGTAAACTGGGCTCCCAGTCTCAGTGATACTGGACTGGGAACCTCACCTTAGGCACCGCGTGTGACTGCACTCGGGTCACTTGCACGTAAGCACAAGTGGGTGCCTTCACCAGAGACAGCCAGATCCTCAGGCAGCTCCTTTGCATGTTGCCAATTGCTTTTGCTCTTTGGCAACAGGAGTTTTTATATTTATTTATTTCCTTTCTCTCCTCTTTTTAATTTTCCTGTTCACCTTTCCCTTGTATTTAGTTCCTCGCTACTGACTTCCTGCTTCTCTCTCTTTTCCTGTTTGTAGGATGCAAACTGATTTTCAAGCAACCTAATTTACTACTTCTCAGAGGTGAGTGAATATTTTTTTCGTGTTAGGCATGACAGAAGCAAAGCAAAAAGTAAGTAGTTCACTAATGGCTGTAGATTGAATCACTGCAAAGTGTATTAGCATTTGTAAATCTGAATTTCTCTGGAGTTCTTAGTGTGTTGTAGCTGTTTTCTCCTTTGAAACCACAGCTAAGAGGAATGCAAGGATGGATTTTTAGCTTCACGTGTGCTGATTTGCAGTAGTAGCTGGTCTACCTGAGGACTTGGTAGTGGCTTCTTTGGGTGGCAGCTCAGCTTAGCATTTTTCAGGATGAGCATGAACACGGTGACCATGGTGTTGTCCTTTGGTGGGACATGCCCTTGCATGGGATGTGCAGGATCAGTCCTCCCCTCCCCTGGGTTCTCAGAACTTTGGGGTTTTTCTCTTTCTTAATGTCTCTGCTGCTCCCGAGTTTTTGTATGACACCAGGGAGGATGGTCAATGGATCCATGGAGCCATCAGAATTCCCACCCTCACTCACCTCACTCTAAATATCCTTTAGATGTAGAACTATGAGATTTTCCCTTTTTCAAGCACACAGCCAACTTGCGTTGACACCTTCCAGTCTTGAAGTGCCTGGGCAGTGTTTACACAAAGAGGGTTCTAAAACCCCTTTCTCTTTACATGTTACTGATGAAGAAATGTAGAAAAACTGCAGGTCGCCCAAAGCTTTAGGTAACAGGCGTGTACTCGGCTCTGGCGCTGAGTGTAAATCTAGTCTTTCTCGGTGATACTGGACAGAAATCCCAGTGGAAGCTTTTCCTGCCTCTAACCTGTCTACTTGCCTTCATAATGATAAATGGTGGGAGGGAAAGGGCGAGGGAGGGGGAAAACTATCTAAGCTTTGAACTGGTTGTGTCTTAAGAAGGATGGGAAGGAAGAATGCAGATTCATTTAAAGCAGGATTTTTACATGGCTAAAATCTTTGGTGTGTTTCTCCTCTTGGTCACCTTTGGTGTTCTCATAATTAAGTCGTAGACCAAACCGTTACCCAAAGATGTCTGACTGTGTGAGACATTGTGGCTACTTTTATTTTTTACTTTAAATTGAATTGATTACCTATTCCTGCTTCTATTTTTGTCCTGCTCAGTAGCCATCACCTTTGCTTTCACTAGGTATCCATTGCACGCTGACTGTTTCATATTACTTCTGATGCACAAAGTGAGTTCATCACCTTTGCAGGATGTCTCATGATTGATTCCTCATGTCCAGGGCAATCTGCTCTAAAGTTTCAGGCTAAAACGAGTGCTTGGATTTAGTGGGAATAATCAATGGTTTGAGTCTTATTCTTCTTATGTTTTGAGTTATCCATTTGCGGATTCACAACTGATATTAACTACAACACAATTTTATTCTCCTCTCGGTAGCTCTTCAGATGCACTGGGCAAGAGTAAACCAAAAATTTGCAGAGTGTGGCTGTGTCATCCATCAAACTCAAACGCTCTCTGCTCCTTACCTAAACTGTACACTGCGCAGCCAAGGCTGAGAGCTGGGCTTGGTGAAAAGATTAGAGGGCTGGGCTTGCTGTACTGAAGTCTATAAAAGTTTTCCTATTGACTTCAACAGGAATAGGACTGAGCCTTGTGATTTTGGCACGAAAATATAAAAATATTCTTTTTCATCTCTGCTGAACGCTGAACTCCAGCACGCATTGCTGTCTGCCTTACGTAAGATAGAGGCTGTTAAGGAGAAATAATAGTTTTTGCACATATTGTTCTCTGCACATGTTGTTCTCTAGTAAATACTTGTTAGAGGATGCATCCATTCCTGCTGGCAGTGGCTAAGGCTTAGTACACAAATTTGGCCCAGTTTCCTGCTATCAGTGTAAACCTCCCAACTAGAAGCTACATTTGTCAAATTTTGTCTTTCAGAATTGTTCAAATCATTGGTGTCCAAGTAGACGGTGCCAACATTCCACAGAATTCTCTTTCTTAAAAAAAAAAAAACAAACCCAACAGCTTCCTCCAGTTTGTAAATACAACCCCAGTGAAAATAATCATCAAAACTGTAATGACGTATGGCTGGAAGACAAAAATTTGTATTTGCTGAAAACTAAGGAAAACAGCAACAACAGAAACAAATGAAAGATGTTGGCATTTGCAGAACACTCATTCAGATCTCTTACCCAGCGGTATTTTTCTGTGGACCAAGAGCCTTTTGGCCTGTTGTGGCCATTCCTCCCATTTTCATTCCAGAGGGTTTTGCTTTTCTTTTGTTAAACAAGTTTCTAATTAACAGAAATGAAAATTATCCTGATTTTACTTGAACTACTGTTATCAGCACTTCACAGTAATTAATATACTTTTTTATTTCCTTCTCTCAGGGCCCAGTTGTAAATGGAGACTCAGGGTCAGGAGTGCAATTTTCGGGCCGGAGGTGCCTTGCTGCACACCCTGCGTAAATCCACCTTGACATTTGAAAAGTCATTCTCAAAAATCATCAGAAAGGTACGTTTGCTGGTCTTGGGTGGAATAATGGTCCTTCTGACCCGTGGGCTTGGTCCGTAACCACCAGCACCAGGGCATGAAGCTCCAAGGGGATTGACTTCCCTTGCCATTACCCAAGGAGATTCTCAACAGGGTTGAGCTGCCCGTGCCAAATGTAATTTTAAACTTCACTTGGGTTTAACTACAACACAGGCTGGTCTAAACTGGTGCTAGGACTGGGAATCCTAGCGTGACGCTGCCATCCACACGCCAGTGCCTACAGTGACTGTTTTATAGGCAGAGCCTGAAGGGCGGTTTCTCTCGTGACAGTGTTTTCACATTAAAATAGTTCATGTTGGACAAGGTTTTTTGCTTTTGTTGTACTGTTCCCAATATTTTCTTCTCTTTCATTTTTAATATCGATCCTGTGCTTTTGTGGAAAGGAAATAATTTCCAAACCGTATTCTCTCCACTAGCAAGTCACGGACTCACGATTTCTCTTCCAGTCTACTATCACAGCAATAAAAGCCCTCAAGTCACATAGAATTTAGGCTGCCTCTTGTCACAGTAAAGCACATGGCACCTCCTTGGAGCAGGTTCTTAAATTAAAATATTGTAAATTTTTTGCTGTTCAAACACCACTGCAGAAACGTGAGTGGCCAAGGAGAGAGGAGGGGTTTTTTTCCTCCTGCTGGAATTTTTCACTATAACCATCCTCAGGGGAGTTCTCATCTTCAAAAGAAACATTCTTTCTGTACAAGCTGCAAAAAGAATTATTTAATGACATCATAAATTAATACAGAGAGGCACAAATTTTCCAAAATGTGGAGAGAGAGAAAAAAAAAATTAGTGTTTGCCAAAAACACCCCAGCTCTTCCAGACTTAGGCCTCTCTTGAGCCTGTGAGCTGCCAATGATACCAAATTGAATGGTGGGGCTTTTGGCATGACTTAAGTTTAGCTTGTTTAAATTTTGGCAAATATTCTTATTACTCACATACTCAGCAAACTGATACAAATATTTGTTCTATTTAGAGTGAAGTCCAAACTCAGTGCTGGCATAAGTGCTCTTGGACTCGGTGGAACTACGCTTGCTTGTGCCAATATTAAATTTGGACATCTACCTTAAAGAAAAACAGAATAAAAAAGTCCCCCGGCCTTTTAGGTAGAGATTAGAACACCTCAATGGAAAACAGACCTCGCGTGTATCCAAGTTTTCCTCACTTGCTAATTTTTGCCTTAATCTGATTTGAAATGGACCTAGTTTTTCTGCACTTGGATTGCTGTTCCCTGTTACGATGCAACGAGCCATCTAACCAGAGCTAGAGCTGAAAAAGCCTCCACACACGTGAAGTTCTTCACATTCTTGAGAAGTAAAAAGCTGTTTAGACTGTAGTAAATCAAGCCCGGGCGCAGTAAGTGTACTTGATCTATTTTAATGCTGTGCAGGTTGTAGGGATATTTTCTTTTAATGATGTCCGTGGTTCAGTGTTTCTGATTTGGAAAACAAACAGAGCCTTGACTTTCTGTCTCCAGACTCTAGAGGATATTTCAGAGTTGCTGTGCTCTCTGTTTCCCAATGCCCACAGCTGGGCAGCACGCTGATGGGCAGGTATCACCAGGAATGATGCTGGGTGCTGTATGGGGAATCCCACACTCAACCACTGCCAGACCCAGCCCAGGTGTGAAAGGCAGAAGAAATGAGGTGGAACCTGGGTGCCCACCTCACCCATGTGCTTGCTCTTGAGATTGGATACATAAACAGGTTAGAAATTTTGCAATGAAAAAAAAAACCAACCACCCCAAAAGCAAAATAGAAAAGCACAATTCCATTCTGTGAATTAATCCAACCAGAATGTGCTTCGGGGATGTGCTCGCTATGGATCTGAGCTCAGGCTGAATGGTGTTTGTAAGCTGAGGGCTATTTAATGCCATCTAAATGCTCCTATAAATGTCACGTAGAAGTGGGATCCCACTAACTTTAGCTATTTAAAAATGGGAAATCTAGTCTAAGTGGCTGAGCTAGATTCCTCTCTAAGTGGAAAAAGATCATCACCAAAGAATGATTCATCCCATTTTAATCTAAATGTCTGATCTCTCTCCATTGACTATAAAAGGAGCCCAGATTAGCATATATCCAAATTTTGCACATCTATGTGCTAACTCAGCCTTTTACAATCGGGTCTTGGACTCGCAAATATCACGTACTATTTTTATAACTTAAAAACTTGTTATTTGCCACAGGGTTTGAGAGGCACTTGCCTCTGAAGCCCCCACTCCAGTGGCTGGACTGGGACTGAGCCTCAGCTGCCCTTTCCAAAGGCTGAGAGCAGTCAGTGCCTGCTGTGTGCTCACAAGGTAAAACCTGGATTAATGACATGTTCTAGTCTCCTCTACATCCCCTGCATGAAGTGAAAGCTATTGCAACAATTCTCATAGCAGTTACTTTTAAAACTGCCTTAAATCAACAAATAGTGCATTGATGAGCGGAAGGTATATGAAAAATGGTTCAAAATAGAAGCAATGATTACTCATTAGAAATGACATTGTTATTCTGTTAATCATATTTGTAAAACAGGCAAAAGATCCAGTCCAGCCTGTCATTTGGACTCTGGGCTGCTGACCCCATTAATTTTCGGGTTGTAGTGGCAGCAATTGTCTCGTTTGGTGTTGACTCAGTGTCACTATGAGAAATGACCTGAGCGTTTCAAATTATGGGTAGTGACACCCTCAGACCTCTTCCCCCCACCTCCAGCCTTTAATTCTTCACTACTGATCTGCACGTAAGTACAGGGACATCATTTTGGTGCTTTTATTATTATTTGGTGGCTTTTGAGCTTAACCTAGTAGTGCTCGGTGTATTCAGATGGCTTCATGTTTCCATTTAAAAAAAGCAAACACGAGCTATCACAGACAACCCCAAACCCTGTTAGTTTTGCAGTGGGCAGTTCAGGTTGGACAGAGCAGCTCTGAGATGGCAAAGAAAAGGGTCAAGTGTGCATCTTGGGAAGTGTGAGGTTGGTACAATCAGACAGAAGAGAGACGAGGCAGCCAGTAATTCACCACGGAACATTTTTATACTAATTATTGAAATGCACCCGGAGACAGCTTATAGTAGTAAAATGACTTTATGTTCTGATATGTAAAATAAAATGTCCATGCTATGTAACAAACATTTAAAAATTCCATACCACCTGTATCTAATGTGGTTTCTAATAAAGATTTATCTGTAGTATATATGTTTTTTATCTAACCAATTCTTAGTTTTTACATCAAAGGTGTGTAATTAAAAAAAAAAAAAATCTTAAATAGATGTCTTTCCAAAAAAAAACCTTGCAACATTCATTTTTATTAAGTATTTCATTCGTAAAAAGCAAAGCTGAATTGGACACGTGGCCTGCATTTGTGATATATATATATTTTTTTATATATATATATAAAATATATATGTATATAAATAGCTATTCAGCATGCAAAAACTGTAGTGATTTCCAAAATCTGATTACAAAATCCAAACTGGTCACACACATGGTCTGCTGAACGGGTGTATGAGATTGTCCTGGTTGAAACGTGACCTCCACTGTAGTGGCCTCGGGGTTGTCTCACTGCAAGCAGCCGCCCTCCTCCACCAGCCTCTCCTCACTGGGATGGATTCATCCAAACGCAGAGGTACCTCCCCTCTTCCAAATCTGTATTTCAGCTTTTTGCCTTTGAAGCAGGAGTGGAAAAAAAAACCCCCCACCGCACCCGACCGGAGCTTAAATATCGCGCTTTTTAGTGGAACCAAACTCCCAGCATCACCTCTGTGTCACCATCCCTGGGGACAGCATCACCTGGGAGCTCAGCAGGATGGACACACTGCGGACCGGAGGAGGACACATCCCTGCTCGGGAGATTTTTTGGGTGAAGACAATGGGAGTTTAATTCCAGAAAGAGCACAGGTTGCTCGCCGTGGCCGTCGCTGGGTGATCCCTCTTCACCTCATCCCTCCTCACCTGGAAGGGACACTCTGGTGGGTGAAGCCAGCGCCGAAGGAGTCATTTCAAGGTACTTCCACAGTAAACAATAGTAGCAACTTATACACTGGTTACAGATTTTTTTTACCTGTTTTACAAAGATTTGTACACTGTAAAGCCTGATGGGTAATGGGAGCTCATCCCACCCCGCAGTTAAGAAAATATTCCTCTATGCCTCCTTTATGCTGAAAACAATTCTCTCTGAGCTAGCTGCAAAAGAAAAAAAAAAACATAGCACAAAAGGCGCGTTTCAGCTGAATACGAAAGAAATCAAGGACCAGCAAATACAGAGATCGTTTCTGGAAAGTATTAGCAACTTTTAAGCTTAAAACTTCATAAATATATTGCAATAAGCGAGTGTGATTCAAACCAAGGGATGGGAGTCTGAAGACACTGGGTCTGTTCCTAACGCTGCGATTCATTTGCTGTTTGGCCTCAGGCATAAGGCGTCACTTCTGAGTCTCCCACAGCCACGGATGGGGTTGTGGGGGGGGGAAGAAGAGACATTTGTGCATCGGTGCCTTCTCCTCTCCACGCCACGGCACCGACCCCGCGCCGTGCCGGGGGGGTACCCGAGTGGCACCGCAGCTCCCTGACCCCACCGCCCAGCCTCCCCGCCGGCCCCCGCGCCCCTACGGCTCCATCACTTCCAGAGGAAGAAGGAATTTCTAAAAAAGAGCTAAAGAAGTGCTGCTGCAGCAGTCCTTGAACTAGGCCACCGGACAGGGTCGCTTTTTCCTTTCATCTTTGGGATGCTGTGACTTCACAAACCGAGTACCGTAAAAGTGAAGCTGGTATTTTTCCCCCAAAAATAGCCACAATTTGCTCGTGGGTGTTTAATAGTACAAGCAAAAGGAAAGGGCTAGCTACTTCACTTGTTAGTCATGAAGGTGGTTCCTACTGGGTCGGTAATGAGGACACGAGGACTAATTTATTCGGGAGTCAGTAAGAGACTGATGAATCCAGCCCACCGAGACGGGAGGTGTAATTAATTCTCTGTGTGCCTGAAGACACGAGCTCTTCACCCACACAAATCCCTCTGGAAATGCACATTTGTCTCACCGAAGTGCAAGTTACCCACAGGTATCAACACTGACTGACCACTGTCCTGGAGCAGTAACGTTGGCTGTGGCACGGCTCGGCCGTGGGGGTCACCCGTCAGTCCAGTTCTCCACAGTCCCCATCCCTGAATGATACTGCAGCGACGACTCCCTGGCCAAGGAAAAGCTTTGGGAGTAGAGGAACTCGTTGGCAGCGTTTAGGTGCGGAGAGGGGGGTTTTCTCTCACACACAGAGGGGTGAACCCTTTCCCTGGGGAAAGATGAAGAAGGAACACGCTCCCGAACCTGAGACTGGGACAGCTGGTTGTAGACACTGAAGTGGCTGTTCCCTGGTGGCTGCGAGCCTTGGCCCGCGATGGAGGGGAGCCGTGGCATCATGGTGGTGGCAGTGAAATGAGCAGGGAAAGGCTGGTAAGGGACAGTCTCCATTGTCTGAACGCTGTAGCTGGTGTAAGGTGCGACAGAAGTCCACATATTGCAGCTCAAGGGGGGAGGCGGAGGTGGCAGGTCGTCGACGGCTGAGACGCCAGCGATTTCAGCCCCAGAACCAGAGTACATGCAGGCTTCCCTCGGGGTCACCTCGCTGCAGTAGGAAGGGCTTAACATCTGCTGGTCGTACGGAGGCGGGGAACGGAAATAGTGATCGTCTCCTACAGAAGAGGAGGCTTCCAGGTAGGAGCGTTTGCAGGGCAGGTCCAGGTGCCGAGCACTTTCTGCAAACAAACAAAACAAAACAACAAAAAAAAGCATGTTCAGGAGCAGGTCCCAGAGGGACGGCGGTTACTAGATGTCTGCCAAGAGACCCGGGTGGTTTTATGGAGTCCCCTTATGGAGTCCCCTTAGAAGCCAAGTGCGCGGCCTGCGATCATTTCTCAAAAGGACTTGGTGCTCTTTTTCAGATTAATCCAGTCAAACCACTTCAGTTTGCAAAGACAATGTACAACATCAAAAAAACATTGTGTTGCAAATGTCAGGCTAATCCCCTCGGCCTCAAAGCATTCTGGTGACATTTATCAGGTTGAGCGAGCGACTGGGGCTACTATTCTCACATCAGAGATTACTTCTCCTTCATCCAGATAACAGAGGGCCCTGACACTCCCGCAGTGTCGCTCCTGACAAATTCAAGAAGTCTCTTAAAGGGTCTTATCGCAGCCTGCCTTCCTGTCATTGCAAAAATGACTATACATTTCCCAGATATTCCTGTCAAAAGCTGCAGAAATATTTCCAGATAAAGGAGCCCTTTCCCAGTCATCAGCCCTTCCCTCAGCTTTACGCCGAGGAGCTGTAGCCCCTCTCCCACAGACGGCGATGACCGGGGCTGCATTTCCCAGCGGGGTTCTGTTAGTTGTTAGGAATAGTCTCTGGATGAATTAGTGAATTCATCTGCAGATTGAGCATCTGCTAAAATTACACATTTGCCTCATTAATAGCGCTGTTAGATTCGTTTGCCCGTGATCAGAGGATTCTCACAGCTTAAATGAATTAGCGGCCAATGAGACATGCAAATAGAAGGATATTTTTTTCCTGTGCAAAATTTTTCCGTTTAACTTAAAACATGTCATGATCTCATCTGATGCTGGACTAAAAGGAAGAGAATGCAGTTACAGCTCACTGCTTAAACTTGAGAGCTAGTGGGTGAGAAGAGAGGGATGCTTACACCCGGCTACCACGGTCCCACTGCTCTGCAGCCATGGGGAGGCTTCATCCTGGAGAAGTGCTGAACATGTATCATTTCATTAATGCTAATGGCAGTGTCAAAGCATCTCAGGATAGATAAGCCCCCCTCCAAACAATTATTAATTCTAACAATGGATAATTTTCCAGCGCAGCTTCATGCCATTTGAATTATGTATTCTGATTATTTTTTTTCAGCTCTGACTCAGAGTCTCAATTTGCCTTCTATGGGACAAAACCTCGAATAACTGCCCAAAATCCCAGCTCTTGGGCCCTGGACCCTCCCAAACACTTTGATCACATCAGTATCTTCGAAGATCAAGGCCTAAGAGGTGAGTCCAAAACGCACTGTTATTAGCAGGAAGCTTTCAGTGCTCCCACTCTTAGGTTTATTTGCTGTCATATTTTTCTACATGTAAACTCAAGTTACCTCTTCTTTTTAGGCAATGGTAGAAGAGCCCTGAATCCCTCTGTGCTGTGAAGGTGTTGAGTGGCAGATCTTGAGTATCTGAAGCTGCAAATTGCATGTGAGCACCGTTCTCATACTGATAATGTTGAAGGGTCTGGTGATTCCCATGAAGTGGGTTAACATCTGGCTTTGCTGAAAGCTGGCCGTGACTGGACACCAACCTCTGCCTCATGATGCTTTTGGAAATTACTGGATATTCTTTGCTAAAGGAGGTAAGAAAAATTATTGCCAGTTAGAGAGCAATCGGCATTAACAGAGAGATGAAATGTTAGTTTGGGTTCCCTAGAGCATCCCCATCCAACGACTTCAACATCCCTGGCCAAATGTGATGAACTCATCACACTTTGCTGGGTGTGGGCAAGTATTACAACAACACACAGAGTGTGTCACTGGTTTACAGGAAGAACTTTTCAGGGGTATAAATGTCATTAAAAGCCCTGATGCCTTCAAAAGCAAGAAAACGTGATGCCTCCGCACCTTCAACAACTCCAAAGAGGTGCAACACACTAGTAGCAGAATAAGAACTAAAGCATCATTTGGGAGGAAATGAGTGTGGTGTAACGAGGTGGGGGCACAGGATTGTGTTGGGAGTGAGAACTCTGCACTGCCTAAGCCTCCTCTGCACCGGTGGAGCAGGGCTCCTGGGAAGCCACCACTGTGTCCCCACCTTCCTCAGCCTCTCAGCACAGGTGGTGCCCGTGCTGGGGTGGCTCTCCCCGTTGGGATGGGTTTATTTATACAGGAGAGAGCCCATATAGGCTGGGCATTTCCCACAGGAAGATTTACTTCCATGGCTTAGACAGACGTAGCTACTGACTGCAGGTGCCGTTTGTTCTGGTGGTTGGGAATCCTATGTTTATTTCAGGATTTTAATTTTTCCCCTGGGCTGGTGTTAGCAAGGGACCTGTAGATAAAATCAGTACCCTGTTAAATTTATCTGTTGCCCATGGAATAACATCTTGCTGTGATAGAAATCCCCCTGATTTAAACACTATTGCTTTTTAAGCAAAAACAGCAGAACACGTGAAAAGGACAAAAAGGCCCAAAGTAACTCAATATTTATATGGTCATTGAGACTATTTCTGCACAGGCTGTTGGACACAGCCTGCCCGTGCCTGCTGCCTGGGTTCAGTGCACCCTTGCACACGCGTGTGCACTGCAGCAGCCCCCCTTAACCCCCCTGAGCAGGGCAGGAGAGCACCCCACGGAGCCCCTCCTCGCCGCCGTCCCCGCTAGGCCGTACCTCTGCAGCCGTGCCACGCGCAGGTCGCTGTCGTCGCTCCCCCTGAATCCCTTGGCAAAGGGGTTGTTCTCGATTTTCAGCTGGGTTATCTTTAAAAGAATGAAACGGAGCATAAAACGTTTGAAAACAGAGCAGTGAAATGCAGAGTCCACGAGAGGTTCAGCCCTCTGGAAACGGGGTGGCAGAGAAGGTGTCTCTGCCTTCAGAGCTGAGGGAGAAACTCGGCCGTGAAGGTCAGTGCTACATCTTGCAGAAGCAGCTTTTAAAGCTGACAAAATTGAGGACAGGGATGCGATTTTCCTTAAGCCTGGGTCCTGTGTTCTTATTCTGGGCTCTTGTTAGCAAGAATATGTTTGTCTGATGTAAAAGAAGGCTTTCTATGTCTCCATGTTAGACACTCCCATTCCTTACAGCATGGCTCTCCCTCAGTTCCATAACAATTTTATATATCTTTATAGTCATTTTTCTGTTGTGAAGTCTTGTAACTCAAACTCTTCTCACCTGGAGAAGAGAAGGCTCCAGGGAGACCTTTGAGCCCCTTCCAATATCTGAAGGGGCTACAGGAGAGCTGGGGAGGGACTCTTTGTCAGGGGGTGCAGTGACAGGACAAGGGGTAACGGTTTTAAATTGGAAGAGGGGAGATTTAGATTAGATACCAGAAAGAAATTCTTTCCTGTGAGGG